GCTTTATCTAATTAAATTAAATATCATTTTCTTTCTAAACTCCTTACCAGTAAAAAAAAAAAAAAAGAAAAGAAAAAAACCGTGCGAAATTTTTTTTGTCAGTCAACATTCGATTTCCATTTTTCTTTGAAAAGTATATTAAAAGAGAATTTTGAATGAATTCAACATCTGAGTCATCGCACGACCATATTTATATCGTTATCTAAAATAATTAACTATTTCTCGTTCAAAAATGAGATCGTATTTGATTTGATTAAGAATTAGATTTGTTGTAAATTTTAATAAAAATTAATGAGATATAAGATTAAAAATGAGTTTTAAAATATGAATTTTAAAAAATGGGGTGTAATATTTATTATAGCATTAACAATATAAGTCCATGTTTGATAAAAATTAAAATCAGATTTTTAGTAGATTTTGATAAAAGTTAATGAAATGTGTGATTGAAAAGTTGTGGATCCCAAAAAAATATATAGTTAAAATTAATTGTTGACTTTGACTAGAAATTTTAATTGAATTTTAATTCAAACTAAACTGGGGCTAAAAGTGTGTTTTTTTTTTAAAAAAAAAAAGATAAAATAAAAATTTAAAAAGACAAAAATTACAAAATTCATTTCTTAGCCAGTTTGGCAACCATAATGTGTACAACCCAACAGTGTCTTGTCCCTCATCTGCAGTCAAAAAACGTCAACTTGAACAAAAAATAAATAATTATTTCCCAAAGATTAGGGTTTTGTGCATGTGTGCTGTAGAACTGGAAGGGAGAAGGAGAAATAATGCATAAAATTCATGTATTCAATCACTCCTTCATCTCTTAAATTGAGGGATTTTTTTTACCAGCCTACGATGAAGAAGATGATGCTGAGCTCAAATTGCATTCCGTCTATTCCCCTTTCAACTTCAAGCCCTAGATTTAGGGCTTCGAAATTCAACCCTGTATCTGTTTTTCCTGTCACTCGTACAATTCGGGTCCCCGAAACTCATCGCAGGTTCTCAGCTAAGGTGAAAATAAAAATCCAGTTTTTACTTTTTCATGTATCAAATTTTACATTTTTTGTGCTTTGGGCGTGAGTTATGAAGTCGTTTAGATATAAACTGGGTTCTATTTGTGTTGGTGCATTGTTATTAGCCATAAAACTCCAGTAG